TCTAAACAAAGACATATATTTTGATCTGTGACAAAATTCTTGGCTGGTTGTGTTATCTCAATACTGGCATCTTTAAATCACAATGATAGACAAGTCTAATCACGCTATAACCTAATGGGACTTTTATAACAAGGCCAAATGACCCAGATCCAAAGAATCAATTTGTTTCATCAAGTGAAAAGTTTACCCAACCTGATTTATCATACAGTCTAGGACTCAGACCTTTAAAGAACTGTTAATTTAGGAGGAAATTAATCAACCACTAACAAAATAATATCAAATTACTGTGCCAATTTTTTCTACTACATAAGAAAATGCAGATTGTTCAGTTTGGTACTGTTAAAAGAAGTTAAACAAAAAAAAAAAGTTAAACACCTTTTTAAATAACAAAAACATAGATACAATTCAGGAAATATATTCAGGTTGGTGTATATAATCCAGAGTGGGATTATATTATATATATTATAATCCAGTAGGGCTACAAAGCCTGATTTTATAACATATTCAAAAGCTTTTCTAATAAGTCTTTTTTTTTAAAGATTTATTTATTTATTTATTTATTTATTTATTTATTTATTTATTTATTTATTTATTCAGAGAGAGTGAAAGAGAGGCAGAGACACAGGCAGAGAGACAAGCAGGCTCCATGCAGGGAGCCCGACGTGGGACTGGATCCTGGGTCTCCAGGATCACACCCCAGGCTGCAGGCGGCGCTAAACCGCTGCGCCACCGGGGCTGCCCTCTCTAATAAGTCTTATCCCAACTTTCCCGAAAGCAGTCATTACAAAGACCTATTCCAATGATATTGTCACCTTCCTAAATACTTTAGAGGCCTGTGGCACACTTTCATCAAATAGGTTTAATTGTAGCAAATTTTAAATTCTCTGAGAATAGACTGGATTTATGGGAATACACAACCGTCACTGAGAACTACAACTGGCAGACAGATCAAATAAATCTCTTTTGGCTTAAGAAAAGGGAGACTGACTACAAGGTTTTAAAGAAGTTTAGTTTTCTTAAAAACTATTGAAAGCAATTTTAAAATAGGAATTCCAAGCATTGTGAGTAGCTATACTATCTATGCAATGAGAGTATAATCCTAGATCATGTTCTCCAAATTCTAAATACTTGAATAAGGGACCATACTAGTACCTCCTATATTTATCTCATTTAATCCATGTAACAATCCTAGATAATTATCACCATTTTAAGGGGAAGATACTGAGTGTGAGTGATTTAAGTAAACTGCCCAGGTAATAAGGAATACACCAGCAATTACATCACAGTCAGAATTTTTATATGATATATATATACACAATTATATATGTATTATAGCTTTTTTAGGTTTTTGACTTACACAGTTAGCCTGTTCCTATAATAGCTGCTACATACGTGTACTTCAGCATTTGCCACACTGTAATGCAACTGTTTACTTACCAATTTTCCCTACTCAATTATGAGCTTCCAGAGAGAATGGACTATATTCATCTCTGTCATCCCAGAACACAGTCCTGTACTTAGCACATCTACATAAATTTCTTCTTAGTAGCTTATCTATGGTTCTGATGTTATTTTTATCAGCTGCTCACAGGTGGTGAACATTACAGAAACATTATTGGACCATTAGCCATTCCTTTGGCTTCAAGATGCCCAACAACCACCGCCACAATTAGAGAAGGCTCAGGCAGAAAGAATGTTCAATGTGATCAACCCTAGTTTGTATGGTTATTCTTAAAATCTGAAGCACTACCTTATATGCAGTAGAAAGCTCTTCATTTTTAAGTTTCATAAAGCTGCATCTACACTTACATTAGTCTACTTCCAGTAGCTTGTGCACATAGAAAACTTCAATTACAGGATCGCTCCATATTCATAGTATATATAAGAATTACAGGAAAACATAAAACAACATAAATCATCAACAGCATAAAATAAAAGTTTGCCAACAAGCTACCTTTTCATTACAACATGACTACAGAGTCCAGAGGTGGAAAACCATCCAATTTATAAATGCTTTCCCCCCACAAGAAACTAACAAAGTCAGATGTTAATGGCATTTTGAGAATGTTACAGTCTAATTATAAAATGACACAGGTTAATATTTAAGGTGACATCAAGTCTCTCAAAATACAATGAGTATCTACAAGATCAAGTTTTTGTTAAACATTAAATAAAGGTATTAGAACTTAAATGGAAATGTAAAAATACAGATGACAGAATTACTTGTTTTTTTCATTCTGTTAGGGGATCTTTTCCTTAATAAATGTTAAAGCATGTGGTGTTTTCAGTTTTCTTTCCAGTTCTAGAAATTAACTATGAATTCTTTTCTAGTATTTATCTTTCTCTTCCCTCCTTCTACCTACTCCTACTCCAAATCTGGTTTAGATATCTTCTTTAACCTTTCAAAACAAGGGAGTGACTTCAAATGTCATGAACTCTGGAATAAAGAGTTAAAGTGATAGCATCATATGACTATTCTGACTCTCTCTAAAGTAATATTAGTCTTCTAGAATACCAATCTAATTCTGAGAGGCAGAAAACACAGGAAGCTCGATGTTCCGAGAAAAGTTAATAATAATTGACTCATCTTGGCTACCCAGGAAATACACAGCAAAGATCTGTGTTCTATGCAAATACTGACAACAAATCCATCTAGTAGTACCTACCACCCTGTGACCAAAAAAAAAAAAAAAAAAAAAAAAAATAGAAAAAGAGCTCACAGGGCAAATACACAATGACCATAGAGAACAGAAAGAAAGCATCAGCAATTAAGAGATGAGAAGGGATCAGAGCTGCACGAAACACAATACAGTAAGCTTCTTACAGATAGATAGACCGAGGCAGTGGAAGTGACGAGATCACCACTGCTGGGAGATGAGAGTGGGATGCAAGTGGACAGGAAGTGAGATAGATGAGATAAGGGGTAACACAGGCAGGAGCTAGAGATCATAGGAGTTGAATTACAAGAGATATAACAACAGAACACTGGAGGCAGTGACTAGGAAGGAGGCTCACCCAAGGAAATAGATGGTAAGGAGAACAGAAATTACTTTTATTTATTTTTTTTTAAGATTTTATTTATTTATCCAAGAGAGAGACAGAGAAAGAGAGAGGCAGAGACACAGGCAGAGGGAGAAGCAGGCTCCATGCAGGGAGCCCGATGTGGGACTCAATCCTAGGTCTCCAGGATCACGCCCTGGCCTGAAGGTGGCCCTAAACCACTGAGCCACCCGGGTTGCCCCAGAAATCACTTTTAATGGGAGGCTGAATCACGGAAAAGACAGTAGGCAAAACACAGGTACTAAGCAAGATATTCTGGAGAGATGAAAAAAATGCAGAACTGACACTAGGTGATAAGAAGACAGGGTAAAGAGATAAAAGGGTGAAGTAAACAGCCTACTAAGGAAGGAAATACTTATAAAAAATGGTTTCTGGAATTTTATTTTATTAAATTGAAATTTAAAAGCTGCTCTTTTGCTTATATTTCTCTTTGTTGAGTACAAATGGATTGGTAAGAACAGAGTTGTCCTTAATGTACAAAGAAGAAAATTATGGATCAGGTCAACTGACTCAGTCACCAAAGTAAAAAGAGTTGAAAACAATAAAATTTACTATTAGTTAACAATCTTAGTTCTAAGCCACAAACTAATTTTTACACTGACAATGTGTATATATACACATTAATGACCAAATGCTTCATTTGTTAGGTACAAAAGCTTTCTCTCTCTCTTTCTTTCTGCACTTATCAGCATTTGGAGAAATCCCTGCTTCTCACTGCTTCCCCCAAAAAGGAAAGGGCAGAGTAAGAAGGTCACATCTCCATCAACATTGCTTAAAAGAAGTTTGATGGGGGGATCCCTGGGTGGCGCAGCGGTTTGGCGCCTGCCTTTGGCCCAGGGCGCGATCCTGGAGACCCGGGATCGAGTCCCACGTCGGGCTTCCGGTGCATGGAGCCTGCTTCTCCCTCTGCCTGTGTCTCTGCCTCTCTCTCTCTCTGTGACTATCATAAATAAATAATAATAAAAAAAATAAAAAAAAATTTAAAAGAAGTTTGATGGAGGCTTAAAACAAGTTGAAAACAGCAATGGTTAAAGGATGTTGTAAATTTCCTATAAATTTCTATGACCTATGTTATTCTGGTCTCCTAGATAATTAAAAGCACAATATAGAGATAATCCTTCATCTCCACCCAAAAAGAATAGAGGGAAATGAAACTCTGAGCAAGAATATAAAAATAATAAAGGAAAACAAATGTGAAAATGAATGGAAATATTCTATTCTTGATCTTAGAAAATAACTTAGGGTAGGAGAGAAATATACCAAAGGTCTATTTATGAAGATATAATTCTTACTTTTTAAATCGAAAAAATATGGTCATTATATCTTCAGGCTAAAAAATTGTACAAGAAAAAAGGGGCACATAGAGAGGCTGAGAGTACATAAAAGAAGATGAATCTAAAGCCACAAACGCTGTGAACAAGCAGTAGTACATTATGAAGAAGCAATTCATCAACGTCCTATCACTTTAGTAATTATCTAGCCAGAGCTGGTTTCTGGGGCCAACATCCCAATGAACCGTTCCCATTTCTCCTACTGTAGCTCTATCCATCCAAAATAAAACTCTGATCGTGAGGGGACTACCAGCTATTGTAGTAGAGGAAAATAACTCAAATTATATACAAAATAAACTGGGTGAACAGAAGTCTTGTAAGAAACATGTAAAAACATGTGTTAGAGTCTTGTCACTCGTATTTTCAGAACTATCTTCTTTCAATTCCTCAAAAATCCTAAATGATATTTGGGTTGCTTCTTGAAATTTGCCTTTTCTTCTCTCTCTCTCTCTCTCTCTTTTTTTTTTTTTTTTTACCATTCTTCCATGAATATCTTAATGAGTCACTTGGCCATATAGTCCATTCACAGGCATCACGAACACATCATTATCGACTTCTGGAAACAGATGCTGCTCCACAGGCTTTAGGAGACTTCTTGAAGGAACAAACCTGGTTCTTTGGTCTCTGTTGAGGACATGTTCAAACTACGATTCTCTCTCATACTCAGAGATGACATGGAAGCCAAACTGTGCTGTTTCCAAAACAAGACGCCTTAAAAGAAAAAAAATTTTTTTAAGTTAAAAATCAACCAGGTTTTAAAAACACAAAACTCTAATAAAGCAGCACACATTCTCACACAATACTACATCTTAGCTAAGACTGAAAAATAATTCAAATAAAAAAATATTAACTTTCACTTCAGTTTTAAATATACATACTCTATTCTCAAAAAACTTTAACAGTATCACAAAGTACACAATAAAAATACTGCAAATAATGGACAGCTCCTGAAATTAATACAAAAACATCTGTTAAAATTGCAAAGGAATTCTGGTGATTGACACTTTAATCTTTACCATGGCCAGGAAAAAGTCCCTGAGAAAACATAATTTTTCTGCATTCATATATTACTTGGAAATTCTATGAACAAGTATGGTTTACATTAAGCTGTAAAATGAACTACTGAGTTGACTTGGAAAATTTCTTTCATCCATAAAATTCTGAAATTACATGTTATCTGATGATACAATCTTGGTACCACTGAACCAGCTAGGCAAGTCATCTAACTTTGCCCTAATTTTCTTATCTATAAAGCACAAAGCTGGTACTTACAGGGGGAGGAGGGCACTTGAGGATAGTTTAAAATGCAGATGCCCAGGCCCAGGTCTAAAGAATTTGAATCTCTAGGGTTAGGCTAAGCTGTTACTTTCATTAAAAAACCCTGGGTCATTCTGATGAACACTCCTACATAAAGAACTATCACACTAGATCACGTTGAGGATTCAGCTGTGCAACCCTAAAATTCATTAAATGGGTCAGTACAGATTTCAAGAAATTATCCCATACTGATAGAACCAAAATAAAAGCACAGAACTAAATAAATCTGTGCTTCATTTTCTCTTTCCCTAAAACCTCCCATTCAGAGAAAAACCTGAAATTAAGATTAAAGCTAATGTGACAATTGTATAAACACTTCAACATAGATTATTTTAACTCCAATTATTTTCTGGGATGCTTAAAAAGAATGCAAGGGTATGACAATATCTGTAGTTATAAGCTGCTTCTCTGACAGGCCATCTCCAAGTATGTGCTGATATTAAAATGACGTTAGTAGGTCATCGATGACCTACTGACTCAAATTATACAGCTACCCCCAAGACAAACAACAGACATGACCACCTGCCCAGCAGAAACAATCTATAACACAGAATACTATACCTGTAGCGTGTGTGTCCTCCCTGGCTGCTAACCAGGTTTGTGGCCCATGCTTCATTCAAGGGCACTTCCTCCTCTGATTCCTGGACAGTGGGTATGTTGATGTATGTACTCGCCTATCTCTGCAGTCGTTTAGATTCAGTGACTCTGTTGATGCCCAACACCCCCAAAATAATAGTGTCAGCTCCTGACAAAATGGACACAAGAGTGGGTTTTCGAAGAATCCCATTTTCTTCATCTTGCTGGATTTTGTTTGCAGTCCCTCATCTAATTCCACACAGCTTCAAAACAACTTCACTGCAGGTCTGTCACCCAACCAACAGCACCATTTTACATTTTTTTCCACCAAAGAAGTATTTCTTGGTTTCCTCCTGGCCTCAACAGTGTTCCACGTAAGGACAAAGCAAATAGATAGAAGTACACAGGAAATGTCCAGTAACACTCACTTCCTGGTAAATTGTTATCATTAGGGATTAAATCTAGTAACTGTTTAAAAAAGAAAAGCAGTAAGACATCAAGTATCATTCAATATTATATTTTGTAAGTTTTTTGACACTAGATTAATAAACAGTTATTGTACTATTTCCCAGTGAATCACTGTACTAGGATTCAATACCTATAAAGAGTTATAATCCTCATTCAGCTCTGAGACTCAAAATTCAGTTTCTCTCCCCTTGCCTTTGGTCATTTCAAAACAGAGTACCCCATAACCATTTATCAACCTCTTCTCTTTGGAAAATCCACAGCACTGTTTCTGTAGCGCAATCACTGCAATCTTTTATGCTACTTTGAAATCTGAGAAAGAGAGCCTTTTACACTTGAAAAAATAGTGTCAATTTTAGATCTCTCCTCTTTGAAGTAAATTCCCCACAGAAATTGACCCTGACTTGGGGGATAGACTACCTGAGTTCATATCCAGTCTCCCTCACTATTTGCATTGTGGCATTCTTGGGGCAAGTGACTTAATTACCCTACTGTGCCTCAGTTTCCTCACCTTAAAAATGGGATTCTAACCGTACCTACTACTTCAAAAGACTGTTATGAGAGATTCATAATAAATTAACAGCCAAAGGCTCCTGGAACAGGAATGTATCTGCACATGTGTATCTGCACATTTTAAGCACTACATAAATGTTAGCTATCATTTTTATTTTGTTTTATTTAGCTACAAATTCTCCTACTGCATACATTTGCCCCACTAAAATACTACCTACTTGAAGATTGGAACCACATTTTCGATATCTCTGACATTTCCCCTATGGTATCTAACATCAACTCAATAAATATACATAAACCTACTCTGCATTTATTATCATACTGGATAAACAAGGAAACATAGTACCTTATAAATACATATTCTCTGCCCTCAAGCAGCCTCTATTTTAGGTGGAGAAACAAAACACGGAAATGCTTATGTAATAGTATAAGGCCATAAAGGATTAAATGCCAAACTGTGTCACATAAGCAGCTAACATTCAAAGGGCTTATTGTGGGCTGCAGATTCTGTGGAGAAGTCAAAGCTGGAGTGGCCCGGCCCCTAATCTCTTCCTCTCCCAATCTCCCCCATCCCAATCTCTTTCTCTCCAACGATGGACCACTAGGATCAGGAGACAGGTTAAGTCCAATATACTTTCATCACAAACTAAGACACATTTCCAAGCCCCTCTGCTGTCCTCTCCCATCCTTTTCAACTACTTCTACTCTCACAAGATACAAATTGTTAGACTTCACTATCAATCTCATCACTGTTATGCCTCTACAAATCTCTACATTGCATTTTTGGGAACACTGTCAAAAGAAACTTCTTGATTAAGGAAGTCAAAACTACTCAATTAAATCCAATAAAAAATGCTAAAACTTCCCTAAAGTTAAGTAGGATCTTCAGCAGTGGAAAGAAAAGAGGATTCCAATGTATTTTTGTTTATTCCACAAATAGTCACTGAGTACCTTCTATATGCCAGGCCCTGTTCTAGGCTCTGGAAATACGGCATCATGGTTGCTCTGACTTTCTAATGATGACAAACATACAGAAACGGCTGCCATGAAAAATTCAGTAACTTTCATGTACTGCATTCTAAATGTTCTGTTGTTTATAAAACACATCAAAGGGATATTCTCCATATTTCTGGATACAAATAACATATAAGAGATTTTAAACACACAAAGTTAATACTATTGGAATGATTTTTCATAAGAGGCCACCAGAGGCCCAGTTCCCATTTTCCCCAAATGAAAAGCCTATTAATGTTTTGCTGCATATACCCTTGTGCTCTGTCTCTACCTCAATCCACTCTCTTTTCCCTTTCTTTACTCGATCTACTAGCAGCTGCCCACAAATATCTACCGTGAAAATGCCTGAAGATGCATGTGGTAACAAGATGACACGAATCAATTAGTCATGATGGGTGGAAGTATTAACTCCAAAAGAAAATGTGTGCATTTTTTTCTTCTATCCTTCCATTGAAGACAACTCTCCACTCATCCCCTCCCCCAAAGACAAGGCCTAGAGATAAAGGAACCTTCTTATAAATACTGACTGGCAAAGCATTCCTAATCTCTTCCTCTCCAACGATGGACCACTAGGATCAGGAGACAGGTTAAGTCCAATATACTTTCATCACAAACCAAGACAAAACACAGAAATGCTTATGCAACAGTAAAAGGCCATAAATGATTAAATGCCAAACTGTGTCACATAAGCAGCTAACATTCAAAGGGCTTATTGTGGGCTGCAGATTCTGTGGAGAAGTCAAAGCTGGAGTGGCCCGGCCCCTAATCTCTTCCTCTCCCAATCTCCCCCATCCCAATCTCTTTCTCTCCAACGATGGACCACTAGGATCAGGAGACAGGTTAAGTCCAATATACTTTCATCACAAACTAAGACACATTTCCAAGCCCCTCTGCTGTCCTCTCCCATCCTTTTCAACTACTTCTACTCTCACAAGATGCAAATTGTTAGACTTCACTATCAATCTCATCACTGTTAGGCCTTTACAAATCACTACATTGCATTTTTGGGAACACTGTCAAAAGAAACTTCTTGATTAAGGAAGTCAAACTACGCAGTTTAATTGAGTACTACTCAATCAAAAATGCTAACTTCTTAATGCACAAAGTACTGGATTTATGTGCTTAATGCATAAAGCACAAAGTGCTTATGATATTTAAAGGCAAACTGAAAAATTAGGTAGAGACCCTACAATACAGATAATCCAACATTCTTAACATTCATATACCCATGAATGTTAGACTTATCAACAAAGTAATAACCAACCCACTGATTTGTATTTCCTTGGTTCGGTATTGAAAAATTACTCTTCCTGTTTCACTGTCATCTGTCAACCTAATCAGGAATGTCACTTAGAAAAATATGGTACGAGGGGGCCCTGCAGAACGGTCATTTCGACTTCCCCAACATTTCTCTTCTTTCAAGGTCCAATAGCCTGCTCATCGGGTGATGATGACGTGTTATGGGAACTTGGATAAATGAGACACGGTGCTTTAGAAACTACTGAACACCCAAATAAAGGGACCAATTGCTGTTGTATGCAATTTTAGAGACATCTTCAGGCTTGAAAAACACTTTAATTTACTGAGTCATTTTATATTGCCAACACTCTTTTTCACAAAAGCAGAAACAGAAGTAATTAATGTACATACTCCACATTTAAGACATTCAAATCAAACCCATCTATTCAAAAATTTCTGAGCAACCTACGCCTATGTGAAAGCTATCCCAGGAGATTAAAGGAAATAAACCAGGTACCACTGGGCACACGCCTGGCAAACACTACTCAACATCAACCATTATCATTGTTTCTAATTTTCCAACTTCAATCTATAAGGTTATAAAGTATGTTCGTGATTATGTATTTTTAATACGTAAGAAACTAATACTGTAAGTAAAGTTAGTACCTTATTGTACTAAGTAAGTCTCTTCAGACAAACGTGAGCTTAAATGAAAAAAGGCAGGGAAAACTTGCTAAGGGCTTTGGGTTAAACGTTAGCTCTTACCTCTGCCTATTAATTAAGAATAATCCCACAGTCCCCTTGGGCCCTGGCGAACAGCCCCTTACACGTGTAGTCGCTTTTTAGAGGAGGAAGGGGCGGGGCCGGGGATAGCTGTCAGTCACCAGCCCTTAAATAAGGCTGCCCGATGCAAAAACAAAAACAAACAAAAAAAAAGGAATACAACTCCTACCAGGTCTAGTATGAATTACAATGAACAGCCAGCGGGCCCTAGGGAACTAGTTCGACATAAACAGTTAAGACCTCAAGCACGTGGACAAGGGATCGTTTATTCTCAAGGCTGCTACCAACCAGTGAAATCTCAGGACGTCCACACTGAGGCTGAAACCCTGCATAAGTTCGTTATCTGTCTCCTGCTAGAAAAGATACTGTTCAAGTCCCTATACACAATGTTTTTTTTTTTTTTTAAGATAACACAAAAATCACTTCAACGGACAATTCTGCAGCATCCTGGGCACATTCCGTTTTTAGGACACCTCAACAGCCCCGGCCACGCACCACTTGATGCGTGATGACGGTGGGACTGGCAAGACCATTCGGAGAGCCTACGCCTTCCTAAGGAGTCACCGGAGTAATTATTAAAGTCGGTCTACGTCCCCGTCATGACAGCAAACACGCTGGTGTCTCCAGCTCCCTCCCGGCTCGTGGGACTATGCGCACCCCCTCCCGCGCTCTGAGTCACGGCCGGGCGCGCAGACGCGGGGCGGGACGAGCACGGCTCCGGGAACGACCGGTCCCCGCTGCTGCCGCCGGTCCGGGCGCACCACGGCGACGCCCGCGAGGACGGGCCGGCGGGGCGGCGGGACCCTCCCGCGGGGCCGGGGCCGGGGCCGGGGCCGGGGGCGCGCGGAGGGCGGCGGGCGGGCGCGGGCGCGGGCGCGGGGGGGAGGGAGCCCGGCTGCACTCACGCGCCGGGGGCGGCACCGGGGCCTTCGCAGCGTCGCTCGCGTTCCCAGACTGAGAGGGGGACGGGGGCGGGGGGAAAGACCTGGCTCCTCGTTCCATCCGGAAACCGGCGGGCCGGCAGGAAATGACGAAGGCAGAGGTCGTGCAGGTCCGTTCGGTGACCGGGTCCCTCGCGTGCGGCCCCGACTCGGGGGGAAAGCGCCCCGCGCGGAGCAGCCTGGCCGCGCGCCGCCTCGGGAGCCAGCAGCGTGAGTGGCCCCGCGTCTCCGCGCCTCTCGGGCCCGGGGCGGGACCGCGTCACCCGGCCCCGCCCCCCTCGGCCTGGGCGCCGCCCGCCCGCCCCGCCCCGCCCCGCCGGGCCCCTCCGGGGAGGGGAGAGAGGGGAAGGGGAAGGGGCCGCCCCCGGCCCCCGGCCCCCGGCCCCCCCGGCCCCCGCACGCCTGCGCCGCTTCGAGCCCTTCGGGGTCACGAGGATAAAGCCCCGGAGCAGCCGTGTGGGCCGCGCGGGCGCAGGAGGGGAGAGGCGGCGCGGGGCGAGGGTTTCCAGACGCCACAGCCTGCGGGCGGCGGGGAGGCAGGTGTGCCGGCGGTCGGGAGGCTGCCGGGGACCACTCCCGGGGCCGGGGTGGGGGGGTGGGGGGGTGGGGGGTTGTACTTCATACCCGCGCGACCGGAGGGCCGGGGTCACGGCACCGGCGTCCCCACGGCAGCGGCGCGGGTTTGGGCGTCAGGTGCACGGACAGCGGTGCGGCCGCCCCTCCCGAGCCCGCGCTACTTCGGCCTCGTTACGTAACTACCACCGCCTTCCCGGTTGCTTCTGTGAAATGGAACTTCGGTGCCTCGCAGCAGGCGGGGTGCAGAAATTCAGGATGTGCACTGCCCATCATGAGTCCTCAGATTGCCCTTCTTCCTCTCGGTAGAAGGCCTGTTACTTAGAACCTTTCCGCTTTAGGAACCCAAACCTCCAGTGCTTCAGAGGACAGAGAAAGGAAATCACAAGAATGCTGTGAATCGTGTTGTGAGGGACTGTATGAGTGATATATTTTTTTTAAGATTTTTATTTATTTATTCATGAGAGACAGAGGCAGAGACAGGGAGAGGGAGAAGCAGGCTCCCTGCGGGGAGCCTGATGAAGGACTCCCAGGAACCCAGGACCGTGACCTGAGCCAAAGGCAGATAGATGCTCAATCACCGAGCCCCCCAGGGGTCCCTGCTGGGTGATTCTACCCTGAATTTGTGTCGAGATAGCAAAGCTCAAAGAGACAAATATGATCACCTTGGAGGCATAATGACAAGTGACACTCAATTTTAGACATGGTATCAGGAACCTAAAATCAGGAAACTAATTTTGAAACGTATAATGTAGTCACTTGATCCCTGGAAAACCTCTCCTAGTTCTCAACTTAAAACTTCATCAAACTAAAACCAAACTCTAGTTGCCATATTTTGGGAACTCTGGCTCTGGATAATAATGTTTTACTTGGGACTTAATTAAGCTCATCCTAGAATCTCCTCACCAAAATTGTTTAAGCATTCGCCTCCAGGAGAAATATGTAAAAAAAAAGTAAGTTTTTCTTAAAAGAGCCCTGAGTGAGGATCCGAGCATGTGGCCAGCTACATTGGTGATCTTGCTGATATATTAACCTGCCAGGAATGAAACATTGTAACACGGGCAGCCCCCGTGGCGCAGCGGTTTGGCGCCGCCTGCAGCCTGGGGTGTGATCCTGAAGACCCAGGATCGAGTCCCACATCGGGCTCCCTGCGTGGGGCCTGCTTCTCCCTCTGTCTGTGTCTCTGCCCCTCTCTCTTTGTGTCTATGAATAAATAAAAATCTTAAAAAAAAAAAAACAAAAAAGAAACATTGTAACGCCCCTGGGCACTTGGCTGTAGAAGGCAGTGTGGTATGAAGTAACTGTAACTGGTATGTGTGTAGGCTTGGTTAGACTAGCGTGCTGGGAGGTGACGGTCATAGTTCATGCCACATGTGGGCCATGGGTCTGTGCTATGACTCTGGACAAGGCCATTTCTTATTCCTGGCAGTCTTGCAAAGTCACACCATTGGCCATGGTGGAGAACTGAGCAGGAAAGGCCTACCCGTGGTGCAAATCTTTCACAACTACAGTACTAAAAATAACTCAAGTGCGTGTCCCTGAAACTGGAATGGTAGTCTCATTGCATACCAATGATGTTGTATAATACATGTTATTTAATACACGTTAAGATTTTAACACTCTGGGTCAGTAGTAATGACAAAATCCTTCTCTAGATACAATTAAAGACGGGCATATTTGTGGCAGGATGAAGACAAGCTTTGTAGGAATATACCACTTATCAAGTGGCCCATGAATTTTGTGAGAAATCGAAGCAAGAAATTAACCTGGCTCAGATCCATTCAGGTATTAGAAAACAGGTAGGAAACACTTCTGTAATTTGTCAGGAAAAGGATACCTGCAAAATGTTCTAGTGGCTATTGCTGTATGTTCCCTGTTTCTTCCCAAAGTCTTAATTAGCTCCCAATCCTGAAACCTCCCACCCTGTGGCATGATTGTCCATGGTCTTCTACAGCATCTCAAATCAGACACCTGAAGTCATCTCTTTTTGCCAAAAACACATTCGTTGTTACTTTTTCAGCACCAGCAAAATTCTAGATTCCATAAATCATAAAGACAATTATAGTCTGTTGTCTTCCATAAGTTTCCATTTCTAAAATGGGCTGATTACTTACTATGAATCATAATGTTACTTTCAGAGAAACTCTGGAGTTCAGTTTTAAGAAATAAGAATTAAATAACAATGAAAAATCTCCGTGTCTCCTACTCACTTAAAAAAAAAAAATCCATAGCCAGTCTTTAATATCAAGGAATTGGATATGGTATAATGTTTAAATAATATTTAGATCTTGCATCTATAAATTTTTATGATTTTAAGTAAGTTCTGTTTTTATTACTACTTGGCTAATTTTTACAAGACCAGTCTAATAAGTTTACTTATTACTAAGCCAGATCTACATTATAGAATATTTTGGAGGCTCACAGGAGGTTGGAAGATATTTTAGTGCAAGAATATCTGTTAGGCCTTCATTGTTGTAGGATGTCTAGAGAAAAATTGCAAAATAATTTCTTGGACAATTTCAGATACTCTTTTTCTTGGAGTTAAAAAATGACTGCCTTATTCCTAGAAACTACAGTACATTTATCACCTATCACTTGTTCAGTTTTTCTCCCTCTTATAGAATGTCTAAAACAATGCTTTTGGTTTTCTTTCTCATATCAGGTCATTTTACTTATTAGATTTACCTTTTTTTTTAAGATTTATTTATTTATTTATGATAGACAGAGAGAGGGAGAGAGAGAGAGCGAGAGAGAGAGAGAGAGAGAGAGAGAGAGAGAGGCAGAGACACAGGAGGAGGGAGAAGCAGAACTCATGCCTGGAGCCCGATGTGGAACTCGATCCCGGGACTCCAGGATCGCGCCCTGGGCCAAAGGCAGGCGCCAAACCACTGAGCCACCCAGGGATCCCATAGACTTACCTTTTATATCCAACACAAGGGGTAACTTTCTCTTTAAGGAGAAATTCAACTACACAGAGAGGACACCATTACTCTTTTACTTGCTATTTGATAACACTTGCTCTTACTACTCTTATTTTCTGTGGGAATGTTCAAAGAATGCATTTCCTTGAAGTCACAGCTGTGTAAATAGCAAAAAGTAACTTTTTATCCCATACCTTCTTTCAACCACATTTGGCTAGGAGGCCAAAACTAGATAAAGCTCCAGACATTTTCCACTTGCATGGGAGGCCAGTGGGAGAAACATTGCAATGGCTGTCTCATCTTTTCTAAGCTGCTGTCGTGAGCACGACATGATTTTTTTAACATCATGGCCAGTTGTCTGGATATGTGTTTTAAAATATTTGGGTGCTTTCATCTGGGTGATAGTTACAGTTTAGAAACTACAAAACATTTCAACCATATATCCCTTTTGTAATATTATCTTTAAACTCCAGTTTTCACCTTCATGTAGAAGGTAAAATGTTTCAAAATCAAAAGTAAGGGGAAATATGTTTCACGCCCTAGTTATCTAAGCCAGGAGTTGGCAAACTTTTTCTTAAAGGGCCAGATTGTAAATATTTTAGGCTTTGAGAGCTGGAAGCAAAAATCAAGGATATTATACAGGTCTTAAAATCACTCAAAATGTATCTGTTTATAAATGTAAAACCATTCCTAGCTCCTGGGCCATCCAAAAACAGGTAGCATGCTGGAGTTGGCCAGAAGGCCATATGTTTGCCAGCCCTTCTCTTCAGACAGTGGTACCACCCCTAACTAAGAAAACCCCTGCTCTCTTTTCTTTCTTCTAGCCCCATGCCTGGAGGTTACGGGGTGATGGGTGACGATGGCTCTATGGATTACAGTGTTCATGAGGCCTGGAACGAAGCCACCAATGTTTACTTGGTAGTGATTCTTGTTAGCTTTGTTCTCTTCATGTATGCCAAGAGGTAAAGTTTTTAGTATTTTGGGATTGATAAGAAACTGGGCTTTTAAAAAGGTCACATTTTTGTTTGTTCCGAATTAAATGCACAAAAATAATTTCATCAGCATTTTTGTTTCTGCTATGAAAGCACTGTCTACTCGGGTCTGTTCTGGAGCTCTGGACACCAGTTTGGTTTTGAAGAGACTGTTGTTTTAAGAGTTGGAGATTTAGGGGATCCCTGGGTGGCTCACCGGTTTAGCACCTGCCTTTGGCCCAGGGCACGATCCTGGAGTCCCAGGATCGAGTCCCTCATCAGGCTCCCGGCATGGAGCCTGCTTCTCCCTCTGCCTGTGTCTCTGCCTCTCTCTCTCTCTATGTCTATCATAAATAAATAAAATCTTAAATAAAAAAAAAAAAGAGGTGGAGATTTAAGTGCACTTCTGGGCACTCTGACTGGTTTTGCCTTTTCATTCTATTCTTTTCTTTTCTTTTTTAAGATTATATATATTTGAGAGAGAGAGAGAGAGAGCAAGAGATCACAAGCAGGGCATAGGGATAGAAGGAGAAGCAGACTCCCCACTGAGCGGGGAACCCAATGTGGGACTCCATTCCAGGACCCTGGGATTACCACCTGAGCCAAAGGCAGATACTTAAGCCACTGAGTCACCCAGGTAACCCCCTTCCTATCATTTCTAGTATAGCTCAATTTTATCATCCAGCCTGGGTTCACTGTCACTCTTGGATGAGCATATTTTTTTGGCCCATGTCTGTGAAATCCAGAAACACCAATTCCTATGTATTTAGCAATTCCCTCTTCACACATTTAAGTTTTCCTTTCTGATTCTCATACACGACCGTATCATAGCCCTTACTAAATAATAATGGTATTATCTATTTGTCCATCCCACAAAAACCTTAGTTCCTTCAGAACAAGGACTTTAACCTTTAACCTTTGTGTCCCTGCTGTGTCACATCATGTAATTCCTCAATAAGTATTTCCTGCTTTAATTCCAAATGTTGTAGCATAGTTTAACTATTCTTTTCCAAAGAGAGAGAGAGAGGAAAAGCAGTATTAGTTGGACTGAACTGCTTCTCCTTATAGCCATGTGCTTCTTGGTATTCTCTACCAAGGTTAAAAAAGCATTAGTTCAAAGTAATTAGTAATTGAAAAATAACTTATGTTTGGCTTGGGGAGCACCTGCCATCAGACAAGCAGGTTTCCCCTTCCAGGCCGTGTGACCCCTGGAACAGCTGGCCCATTGGCAGCCTGGACTCAGGGGTGGCTGAGAGAGGGCTCCATATATCATCCCCCATCCACTTGCAGGTAACAGCTTTTCTCCAAAAATAGCCACCACCTCCTCTCCACCCTCCTGTTTTAAAAACAGAGACACACTGTTGTTAATTTTAAGTAGGGGGGCCCACTAAGGCCATGCTATTGTATTTAAGAAATGTGATGATTCATTATTTTCCAAAATTAAGATCTCCTCACATTCTGTTTATTCTCTAACCCAGTAATTTAGCTTTATTTGGATGACACCAGAGGGAGGAGAAAAATAAGATGTTTTCTTGTTTGTGCATTTTTCTGTATAATACTTGGCTTTTGATGGGGGATAGGAGTGAAAGCATGACAGAGGTACTTCATGTGGTTGTATTAAGTGGCTGTATTCAGCTTTCTTTTCTTTCTTCGAGCCCTGTGGCCATACATGTACAGTGTCATACTTTGTAGTGAAAGCAAGAACACTTGAGCCAAGAAAGCATCTCACAGAGACAAAAGAGATAAGCTCATTGTTACTTACATCCTTTTAATGTAGCTTCTGATTACTATAGTCACAAGTCCATTAGCAGTCCTATAGATATTAATGTAAATCTCTCTTCCCTATTGGTTTTGTGTCTAAGGAATAAAAGGAAAATTATGAGAATATTCAGTGTGCCACCTACAGCAGAAACTTTATCAGAGACCAGCTTTTATGATACAATAAGCAAAATTCGTTTAAGACAGCAACTGGAAATGTACTCCATTTGTAAGTATGTTTTGTGTTGAATATAGTCATATTTAAAATAGATTTTTTTGGAATTGTGTTCAATTAGCAAAAGGTTATCAGAAATAATTGGTAATGAAAACTTAATGCCTTTTTTAGATACTTAGCACATCATTAGCAAAAAGTAGATCTGCCATGAAGTTGAAGCTTCAGGACCCTCTCTGCTTATACAGCCTGGCAAAGTGTTCATATGATGATACTTTTATAAATTTTGCAAAAATTAGCTATTTTAACCATCAGTTAAGACTGCTATCTCTTTTTGCTCTAATTTGCCCTCCTCTACACATCCCCTCATGTGGAGTAGCATTGAAGTGACCAAAAGCATTTGGGGATCTGGCTGAGGGGTAACTGGGTTGGAGCTGCCTTTAGTTTGGGTTTGAATCTTGTATTTATGGAGTTTGCAGTCATTTCTAGTATAATTAAATTACTGCAAGCAAAAACAATATAAGAATGGCTTCCAGGGGCACCTGGGTGGCTCAGACTGATAAGCATTCAACTCTTGATCTCAGCTCAGGTCTTGACCTCAGGATCGTGAGTTCAAGCCTCACATTGAGCTCTACACTAGGCACGGAGCCTACTTTAAAAAAAAAAAAGAAAGAAAGAATGGCTTTCAGGAATATGGCATGTGATATCAATGTACAAGCCAGAGGTCATGTCTCAATATTCATATGTCATATAGTACCGAACACTATGAGTATGTACGTCAGGGAGAAGAAATAAAGTTTTTAAAATGTATGGAGCCAGAATGAATTGTACATCTAAGCCACAGCCTTTTATGCCACCATTTAAAAGAATGAGTAGTGGTTGGCTCCATAGCTCAGGGGTTAGAGCACTGGTCTTGTAAAAGAATGAGCTGTGGTTTCCAAGGTGTATTATTAAATGAGAAGAATAAGATAAAATAGTATATATACCAGGATGCTATTCTTTTAAAATCAAATGACCAAAGTATCCCTTGTTTAATCTATGTGTAATATAATGTTTTATGTAATTATGTAACCATGGAGGAGGGCTTGGAAAGTTATGCATCAGATTATTAACATTCCTTAAATTGATGGGACTGTGTGGGATTTAAGGGGAAAATACTGGACATTTTTTAAAGAATGCCTACAGTAAAAACTTAAGTGTGTGTATACATGTGTGAGTGCATAGAAAAAAGCAAGAAAGAATGATTGGCAAGATATCACTAGTATATGTCCTGGGTAGAATAGAATTTCAGGTTAAAAATAGAAAAATGTATGTGTATGTACATACACCTATGTATATACACACACACACATATATATACATGAATAAACACAAGTAGAACCTCTAAAGTCTTAAGCATAAGTTTTCTCCTAAGAACCTCTTCCTTTAGGAGAAGGAATTGGGTGGGTAGCTGCAGGATTGATCAGGTAGGAGGAAGATACGCTTTTTACTGTTTCCTCCTTGTACCTTCTGCATATGTTACCAGTTCACAATGAGAAGTAAAATTTAACACAGCAGCATCGTTCACAATAGCCAAAAGGCGGAAACAACCCAAGTGTCCCTGACAGATACGCAAAATGTGGTATAGAAATACAATAGGATGTTAGTCAATCTTTAAGAGGAAGGAAATTCTGACACATGGTATACAGCGCAGATGAACCTGAGGACCTTATGTCTCATAATTATTCTTAGTATGAAGGGAAATACACCAATCACAAAAGAACAAATATTTTACTTATAGGAGGCAAATTCATAGAGATAGAAAATAGAATGGTGGTTGCCAGGGGCCTGAGGAGGAGGAAGTGTGGAATTATTGTTTAATGGGTATGGAGTTGGGGCACTTGGGTAGCTCAGTGGTTTAGCATCTGCCTTCAGCTGAGGTCCTGATCCCAGAGTTCCAGGATCGAGTCCCGCATCAGGATCCCCACAGGGAGCCTGCTTCTCCCTCTGCCTATGTCTCTGCCTCTCTCTGTATGTCTCTCATGAATGAATGAATGAGTGAATGAATGAATGAATAAATAAATAAAATCTTTAAAAAATAGGTGTGGAGTTCAGTTTGGGATGATCAGAAGAGTTCTGTGGATGGATGCTGGTGATGGTTGCACAGCAATCTGAACATACTTAATACTACTGAACTCTACATTTAGAAATAGTTAAAATGGCAAAATTTATATTTTACTACAATAAAAAATTCTTTAAAAAATATAAATATTAAACAACAAAAGTGCAGAGCTACAAGCTCTATATGGAAAATTATGAAGAATTAAGTTTCCATTGATGCCTAGCCAAAACAAAGCTATTTCCTATCAGTAATACACTCAGTAACATATCATATAAACATATAATCCAAGTGCACAGGTTTTTTCTTTGATGGGAATGCCATAAAATATAATTTATCAGAATTCCTGTGTTTGTAAGGCATGTCAGTTTTCTATTGCTGCTATAACAAATTACTACAAATCCTGTGGCTTAAAACAAATGTATGATCTTACAATTTCATAGCATAAAAGTCCTAGAACAGCCTTACAGGGCTGAAACCAAGGTGTCAGCAGCGTACTCTTTCTTTCTGAAGGTCTGGAAGTTCGTTCTTTTTTTTAAGATTTTATCTATCTATCTATCTATCTATTTAAGGGAAACAGAGCTGGAGAGTATGTGAGGGAGTGACCACGAAGGGGCGGGGAGGAAGGGCAGAGGGAGAAGCAGACCCTCTGCTGAGCAGGGAGCTGTACAGACTCTCTGCTGAGCAGGGAGCCCTACTCAGGGCTCGATTCCAGGACCTTGAAATCATGATCTGAACCGAAGGCAGATGCTTAACTGACTGAACCACCCAGACGTCCCTTTTCTGGAGGTTCTAGAAGAGAGCCTGTGACTTTGCCTTTTCCAGCTGCTAGAGGCCACCCCCATTCCTCTGTTTATGGCCTGCATCTTGGGAGCCAGCAGCATTTAATCTTTCAGATCATTCTTCCTTTTTTATTTCTTAGTCTTTTCTCTGAACTCAGGAAAGGTTCTCTAATTTTTAAGGCCCATGTGATTAGGTTGGGCCAGATAGTACAAGCTAATCTCCCCCTCGAAAGGTCTTTACCTTAATCACATCTCAAAGTCCTGTTTGTCCTATAAAATAATGTAGTCACAGATTTTGGGGGTTAGGATGCAAACATCTTTAGAAGCCGTTTTTCTGGGCAGCCTGGGTGGCTCAGCGACTTAGTGCTGCTTTCGGCCCGGGGCGGGATCCTGGAGACCCGGGATCGAGTCCCACGTTGGGCTCCCTGTGTGGATTCTGCTTTTCCCTCCGCCTGTCCTCTCTCTCTCTCTCTCTCTCTCTCTCTTTCTTTCTCTGTGTATGTCTCTCATGAATAAATAAATAAAATCTTTAAAAAAAAGCCGTTTTTCTTATAAATACTATATGTGTGGAATTGCACATTTAATGACTCCCATCACATTGGATCACTCTTAGTGTTTTGTGACCTAGGTAGTCCTGACAATCTGGTGGTTCAAGAGGAAATAGCAAACAAAGTTCTTTTTCTTAAAGAGGACTCACAAAATTGTATAAACTTTAGTTCACAAAAATTTGTGGATGCACCCTGAGTAGCATAAATAAATAGTATCTCTTTCTTGGCCAGTGAAAACTTAAGGAAGAGAGTGAAAGTTTTAACTCTAGGTAGTGAATCGCTTTCACAAAGATTTTAACCATGTACTTTCTCTAGTTGCAGGTTAAAACCATGCTTCTTCAATAAACATTTCTGAGAAGTACAAAAAAAATACAGAATGCATATCTGTCTTTTCTTCTAGTTTATATCAAAGACAACGTTCAATAATAGGTCTCTTAGACTGAAAAGTAGAAATACAGATTCCTTATGCTATGAACAAAAGCATTACTATTTACTTAAGGTGGAAGTGGGAAATAAGAAAGAAGGAAATGATAAAATGTTAATTTAACTTGGGGCACTTGGTGGCTCAGGTGGTTAAGCATCTGACTCTTGATTTCAGCTCAGGTCATGATCTCAGGGTCATGAGGTCGAGCCCTGTATCGGGCTCTGTGCTCAGAGCAGAGTCTGCCTGTCCTTCTCTCTCTGCTCCCCTCCCCTTATGCACATGCACTCTTCTCTCAAATAAATAAATAAAAATCTTTTTAAAAAAATCTTAACTTTAATAGCTTAATGTTTACCTTCTATTTTAAAGCTCTGAATAAGCCTGATATACAAATAATAATAGTAAATATATAAAAATGGATATTAACAGTGTTGAGAAATTAGAGGATCACAAAGTATAATACATTTCCTTTAATGAAAAACATTATTTAATTCTAAGCTAATTCTTTACTGAGAATCATGACTTGACTGTGATTTAATGATGTTAGCTAATAATTATTTTGCTATTTTTATTAATTTTATTTTTTTGTTGTTGTGTTTTGTTTTTTAATAGCAAGGAAGTATGACTATCAGCAGCCACAAAACCAAGCTGACAGTGTGCAACTCTCATTGGAATGAAATCACAGAAAATGAACAAACAACCTAAGTAATTGTTCAACAGTCTGGTAGTAAGCTCCTAAATATACTAAGTCATGAACAGCACTTCTTTTAAAACCCTATCTTCATAGAACCATTTTACTTGTCATTTTTTCCCATGTGTGTTATTTTGCTTTTTAAAATTGCATCACCATGTTATTTGTTATACCAAAAAGGGGGGGGGTCAAAAGAACTGGACGCAGACCATCTGCACATACTTAGGACCTTTCATTTCTTCAGGATACAATCAGAAATAAAAATACATCTTTGGAAGTGAGAATCTGGAGCTTATGCTACTTTGATTTAAACGTTTTTGCAAAATTACAAAGTAAAAATCCAGTCATTGGAAGAATATCATCCTCTTCAGTTGTATTCTGTGATAAATGTCATATGGATAATGGATGAATTTGTGTTCTTACTGCTGTTGTTACCACACTTTAATTGAATTAACGATCTTTGCTTCTTCCAAATGAACTCGCACAGGAGACTGCCTTTTCTACTCTTGTCATGAAGCATTCCCATCTGCTAATTGTGGAAGCTTCTTGTGATTGGAATGTTTTCCCTTCATTGTTTTCCCAAGAGTTTGTTTGCTTTTTTCTTTTTTTTTTCAATCCCATAGTTCTATTCCCACCAGAACAGTCTTCTTTGGACCATACTGGAGCCATGCTGCTGAATAAATGGACACGTTTATATTGGTGTTGGCAACTTGCTTTTTTGATCATGTAACTCTCGAGTTTAATATAACTGTCTGGTTACTTACACTTTTTTAGCATAATAAGCTTCACTGAAGACTCATATCTTGTACCTTACACTGAAATGTTTTTATCTAATTTTTCATATTTCTTTAGATAAAAGTTGGTGGGAGGTAGTGGCAAGGGAATTTCCCTGTCCACATCCCTGTCCAAGAAGTTTTTGAATCAAAGCCATTCCTAATTTTAAGAGTTAGAGTTAATATTTCAAGCATTGTTTCCTTTTCCCTTTATAATTATGAAGTAAAGAACATAAATTTTAAACGGAAAGGTTTAGACCAAATGAAATTACTGAGGGAAATTGCATTTGCTTTTAAATTTTAATTATATTATTCAAAAATGTCTTTCTTGTACAAGGTGAATTGCTGACTAATGGAATAATTCTTTTTTGACTCACAGAAGAGTTTGAGTGCACTGCAGATAATAGAATGAAAAACTGACTACAGGATTGTAAACAGTCATAATTACAGGCAGGGGGTAGAACAGCATGGGGCCGATCTTACACTTTGCTCTTAGGAAAACCACCATATATTTCTGTGAGCAGAAAATGTAATTAGGAGCAGTTTACTTGTATCACTGACATGTTGCACAATCTGGACAAATTACAGAAACTGGCTATCTCAGATGATTTATAAAAATATTGTCCCTAAATAAATGTACATCCCAATGAAATTGACTGTGGTTGTTTTTTTATTTGCATCCATTAGATAGAGATAGTCATAACTAAAAGCTGGTATATCGTTTGGTGAGCATTAAACCTTGGAAAGGAAGAGGATGAATTCCTCCTCATTTTTTCTCTAAAGCCAATTGAAGGGAATCACAACCCCCCACCAGCAGTAACAACAGCAAGTCTGCCTTTGAAGTTTCTCTCTGCTTCAACAGCTGAGCTGGGAAAGGGGTGGAAGCCCTGCCACCACACTTCAAAGCCATGCCAGCTGATTATCCTGCTTCTGCCCACCACACCAGCACCATCCGTGGATTCAGTGGAACTATTTTCTTTGGAAGAAAACTGAAATGACTAATAAACTGCTAACCAGCACTTGTGTTCTTTTCCTCATTTCTTCTATCTTTTAGTGCACGAGATCTTCAGTGGTAAGCACTGGGCAGCCTCTATTGGTGCACAGCTGCATTGTGGTAAATCACTGGATGTTTAGCTAATGCCAGCCAGCTGCACTAAAGGAAGAAGTTTGCCTCCAGAGGGTATAGATGTTTGCTCTTGACCTATTCAGGTGGAGTTATTTATGATTGATAAATGAAATACAGAGTTTATCATAGAATTGCTATAATGTCAACTATTTCAAGTATGCAGTAGAAAAAAATCAAAGGTAAAAGCATCATAATAAAAATTTCTGTTACTAAGATAAGAATAAATTTAACTTAGAAAATATAATTAAAGAGAGAAGGGACAAAAGTATATTACATGGAGCCTATTACATAGACTCTAGGCTGGCTGTATGTGATCTAGAGGCTATTCTAGTCTATGAACAGAATCAGAACAGGAATAGGGGCTAAAAAACTAAATGGAAATAGAAAGGACACTTGGCTCACCTCCAACCTGTATGCAAAATTGTGAGGATCCCAGAGTAGGAACTTGAGCTTAAAGTTTCCCCCTGGACCCCCCACTAAAACCAAAGCCGATCTTATACAAAACTATACAAAGCAAAAAAATTTCCAACCCTTCTTCTTGTCCCTCTTCAGCCCCCCGTAAGTCTGTGCGTGGCACAGTCTTGCATGAGGATGTGAGAATAAGGATGAGGCCAGAGGCTCCAGAACCAAGGTGATTAAACCCTACTCAGTCCTGAGGCACATATGGAAACCCAGCTTCTCCTCTGTCCTTGACCTCTCACCCCAAAGTAAATGAATGGCATTTAGCACTGGATTTCACACCGATGTATTATCCACCTTTATTTTATTCAGATATAGTAAAAAACAAAAGCCAATTCTGGAGATTAGGAACATTCCCCATTCTAGATAGGAAGGGGAGAGAAATCCAAGGGGAGGCTGGCTGCTCACTGTCCAGACTTATTGGTAGTAGTTTAGACCCTGGTTTGATGCTGAGGGCCCACTGTGTGGTTCACTTTTATTTGGATATTTCTAGTTCCGAATAGAGAAACTACAGGGGTTTCACCATGAGGAAGGAGTGGCTCCATTGCAGGGATGTTTATGAAAAAACATTTGATGCATTTCAAACTAGCTGAAGAAAGTTGGGTTTTGTCTTGTTTCCTAGCTTCAAGGGGTAGAATTTGGTGATACATCAGTTGCATATAACACCTGGTGCTCATTCCATGAAGTGCCCTCCTTAATGCCCATCACCCAGTTACCCCATCCCCACCCCCCCACCTACCTCACCTCCAGCAACTCTCTGTTTCCTAGAGTTAAGAGTCTCTTATGGTTTGTCTACAAATTAAAATCACAGTGAGATATCACCTCACATGGTCTGAATGGCTAAAATGAACAAGTCAGGAAATAACAGATGGTGAGAATGTGGAGAAAGGGAAACCCTCTTACACTGCTGGTGGGAATGCAAACTGGTGCAGCCACTCCAGAAAACAGCATGGAGATTCCTCAAGAAGTTAAAAAGAGAGCCTCCCTGGGATGCTTTGGTGGCTCAGTGGTTGAGTGTCTGCCTTCAGCTCAGGGCATGATCCCTGGATCTGGGATTGAGTCCTACATTGGGCTCCTTGCAGGGATCCTGATTCTCTCTCCGCTTGTGTCTCTGCCTCTCTCTGCCTCTCATGACTAAATAAATAAAATCTTTAAGGAGAGAGAGAGAGAGAGAGAGAGAGAGAGAGAGAGAGCTTACTTATGACCTAGCAATTGCACTACTGGGGTATTTATCCAAAGGATACAGATAGGGATTCAAAGGGACACCTGTATCCCAATGTTTATAGCAGCAATGTCCACAATAGCCAAACTATGGAAAGAGCCCAGATGAATGTCCGTATATATATGTGTGTGTGTGTGTGTGTGTGTGTATGCATATATGTGTATATATATGTATATATAATATATAATGGAATACTTCTTTATCTCTCCTTATATATATAATATACATATATATTATAATGGAATATTACTTTAGTCATCAAAAAGAATGAAATCTTGTCATTTGCAATGACATGGATAGAGCTAGGTGAAATCAGTCAGAAAAAGACAAATACCATAAGATTTTACTCATGTATAGAATTTAAGAAATGAAACATATGAACATAGGGGAAGGGAAGGAAAAATAAAATAAGATGAAAATGGGGAGGTTTTTAACTGCAACCAACTGTTGGTGTTGTTAAACTTAACTGCAAATGCTTCTGGCCTCTGAGGATTTTTTTTAAATGCACCCTATAAGGGTAAAGTATCTATGACAGAACAAGTACATATACATTTAGTGTATTCATTTGGGGGGAAGTGATTGCATGTATCTCAATAACATTTTATTTTGATATTTTAAAAACCAGGCCCATTTATAGTGGACTACAATCTTTTTTTTTTTTTTTTAAGATTTTACCTACTCATTCGTGAGAGACACAGAGAGAGAAGCAGAGACATAGGCAGAGGGAGAAACAGGCTCCTCACAGGGAGCCTGATGTGGGACTCGATCCCCAGACCTGGGATCACACCCTGAGCTGAAGGCAGATGCTCAACCACTAAGCCACCCAGTTATCTAATTAGTTTACTAGTAACAATTTGTAGAATTGATGTGTTAATTTTTAGGTTTTTAAAATGTATTCTGCTTCTGGTAATAGAAGAATAACTGTATAAGGCTGTTACAGATAATGATTATGACTTCACAACAAACATAAAAAAACAACTATTTGAAGGTAACTGTAAGCAGACAAACCAGAAGGAAAAGGACACTTGAAAGAAAAAGACTGCATTGGTTGAGATTTGTGTTTATATGGGTTTTTTGCCAGAAGGTATTTCCTAGTCCAATAGGTGAGATACCTAGAACTCTCTACCTCATCCTACAGTAGCATTCAATGTTCTCGATCAAAATCTACTGCTAAGAAACAATCTAATACACACTTTCACAAAGGAATAAATGACTGATCACAATTAAAATGTTACTTCTCACAGGGCATTTGTTTTGCATTTTAACAGAGCCTTCAACTGGAAAGAGATGAAGATTTCAGACATTACAGAGCAGTGGTAATTTTTAGGGCTAAGAGACTTTATGGCGTCTGAAATCATATCATGTGAGCACTTAGCTCAACTCCCCCTATTCATTTGGCTACTATTTCCAGTTCTGCCCTCCTTCATCATCTTAGTTTAGCAATCAGAAGGTCACCTTTTCCCCATCAAAATGATTAAATGCATTGGAAGGAACTCCTTCCCCAAAAATTATATCTGTCAAAACAAGGATAGTCAACTCTGCTTTATGGTCTCATCTCTGTGAGGTAGCAAGACAGATAACAGATAATGATCTTTTGAGTACTGTCTTACAAAGAGTAAACATGAACAATGCAAATGATTCTCCCCGTCCTGGACCCTTGCAATTTTGAGAGATGTAAAGCTTAGGTGGGAAGAATACCTCCAGGGGCAAACAGGAGAGGTATGAAGGCAGGTATGTAAAAGGGCAAGGGAATTTCTGACAAACATACTGTGTTTATTAATACTTTTTAGATGTAGGACTTTTTTTTTTTTAAAGTATACATACAAGTAATCACTGACTGATTTCCTTTCCTTTGGTGTCAACTTTTTTTTTTTTTTGTAATCTCCTAAAGTGCCTTACAAATATGAGATGTTTAACAAATATTTGCTTAATTAGATGAGGTTGAACCCAGTGTTGTGCTTTCCAGAAAGGACTCAGACCTTTGAAATAACACTGTTTTGAAAGTTTAAAAAAAAATTTCCAGTGCAACAGAGAGCAACAGTGATTCTACCACTCTTGCAGCTCTTTCTAGAAGTCCAGGATACTTTGTGAAAGTGGTTAAATCCCAACAGCTCATCATATTTTATCATTTTTTTTTTCCTTTTAGTGGCTTAAAGCGACCAACATGACTCCACAGCTGAAGAAATTAAGAGTAGTGTAGTTGGGTGGCTGTGGGTCCCTCATGAAGTTGCAATGAGGATGGGGCTGCATTCAGCTGAGGGTGTGGACGCTGTTCCTAAGACGGCTCCCTCACATGGCTTTTGGCAGGAGACCTCAGTGCTCTGCCATGTGAGCTGTATATATTAATACCCTCCATAAAGCGAAAAAGGAGGATGGATTTTTTTCTCTACAATATTCCAGAACATGATATACCCTATATTCTTAAGGCATTACAATTTCTTAAAAATACATAATTACTTTTCAAAGAGTCCCTACGTGGCTCAGTTAGGTGGGAATCTGAATCTTGACTTGAGCTCAAGTCATGACCTCAGTGGTCCTGGGATTGAGCTCCATGTTGGACTTCCCATGAATAGGGAGTCTCCTTGTCTCCCTCTTCCTCTGCCTCTTCGCTGCTCACACACACTCTCTCCCACTCTCTCTCTCAAATAAATAAATAATTATTAAAAAAATTTTTTCAGCAATTAAATCTCAATTCATACACTGTTGAAAGTGATTACCTGGAAAATAAAAAAAAATTCCAAAAATATTGACTTTTTTTTGCTTGTTATACATTTGCCTTTCCAAATTAGTTTTGCTGTATCAGTACTTTAATTGGTTTCCAACCTCATAAACTCATTATACCTAA